AGACCAAATGAATGAGGTCTGTAATAAATATAAAGCTAATGTGGTATACAGCACCAGAAATGAGATACAGTGCAGTGCAGTAGAGCACGGTACAATTAGACAGTAACAGACAGGGGAGGTACAGCATTAAGAGCATCAGAGACTGGCAAGGCAAGGCTCACGCCTCATGCGATATAAATAAGCTTCCAAATTATCCCCTTCAGCTTGATAAACAGACAAAGCAAACAAACCATGGGTGTGAGTGGGTCTGTCCGGACTTGGGGAGCAGACGACTCCAGACTCTTTACTGGAGCACTGCTCTGCCTTTCCCCCCAGATTCTCCAGCAGCCTCACAGTCGTGTTTCATTTCTGCGTATCTCAGGAGAGGCAGTTACTGTTACAGCCTGAGGCTATTCAGCAAGAGCCCTGACTTTCTGAATTTTTTTGCAATCTAATTATTAGAAAAACATATTCAGGTGGAATAAAAAACACTAACAAACCACAGATAAGAATTGTAAGAAATTATGAAAAACAGCAGATAAGAAATTTTATTTGTGCTTGAGAAGATTGATAAGGCCACTTATGTCCAACCCAGACCGATGACTTTTAGACACTTGGCGGGTTGTGATGATTCCAAGCCATTGCTCACAAATAGCAAACAACACATAAGTGATGGGCTGTTTCTGGGTTAAGAAATGTTACTTTTTAATTGACAGAATATGTTAACTATTCAAGAATGAGAGAATAAGATTAATTTTTAGATACAGGTATTATTACATTGAAAATTGCCCTTCTGAGTGACACACTGTGGTCTGGATAGTTTGGACCAGTCTGGGCAGGGCTGGAGTGAGCTGGACCAGGCTAGACAGAGCTGGAGTAAGGTGGACAGAGCTGGACAGGGCTGGAGTAAGGTGGACCGGTCTGGATAGAGCTGGACCGGTCTGGACAGGCTAGACTGGTCTGCACAGAGCTGGAGTAAGGTGGACCAGTCTGGACAGAGCTGGAGTGAGCTGGACCGGGCTAGATAGACTAGACTGGTCTGGACAGAGCTGGAGTGAGTTTGACAGGGTTGGAGCAAGCTGGACAGGGCTGGACCGGTCTGGAGCAAGCTGGACAGGGATGGACAGGGTTGGAGCAAGCTGGACAGGGCAGGACTGGTCTGGAGCAAGCTGGACTGGTCTGGACAGGGCTGGAGCAAGCTGGACAGGGCTGGAGCAAGCTGGACTGGTCTGGACAGCGCTGGAGCAAGCTGGACTGGTCTGGACAGCGCTGGAGCAAGCTGGACTGGTCTGGACAGGGCTGGACTGGTCTGGAGCAAGCTGGACTGGCCTGGACAGGGATAGAGCAAGCTGGATAGGTGTGGACGAGGCTGAATAGGGATTATCTCTGTTTCAGTTCTCCAGTTCTTTTCCCTTGTATTGGCTCTCAGATTAACAGCTTTCCTAAGCTTTTTCCCAAAGCTGTTTGCTTACTTTGCCCCATTATAACCTGTTTATAGCTCTTTCATCATAAGATCTTCATGAGCAGAGTCTTGAGCCCGTAACTGTTCCTGTTCGACGGAGGCTGTTGACAAAACCGGCCAGCCTACTGTGAGTGTGCCAGTGCATACCCCGCTGTGCTCATCGCCGGAAACACACAATGTCTCGCAGTCCTTCTCTGCTCACGCGCAACACTCAAATTCCTCCCCCACTGACTTGCTCTCTGCAGTGCAACAAGAGAGTTCCTGGCCTGAAGTAATTTACTGGCCCCACTGAGGAGATCTCTCTGAAGCTCCCCTTTGACCGTAATGCAGATATAGCTCTTTCTGTTTCCAGTTGTCATCTTTTGGAATTTGTGTTGCTAAAAAGGAATATAACCTCCCTATAAAATAAAATTTCTCAGTCATAGTAGGCATGAACCGAAGGGGAGAAGAGTTAATTCATGTTATAATGGGTGAAGATGTGACCTTCCACTCACTCCGTAATGGAGCCCTGCATTTTACTTCTTTTTCTCTACACGCTTCAAACAAACTAAGTTTGCTTACTAACCTATTCTTGTCTGCTAATAAAAGTGCAATGTCGAAAATGACACAGTATTCCACGTGGACGAAAGTAATCGCACACTAGTCTCTGGCAGAGAATGACATTCCTCTCACATTGGCGCTGGCACCTTCCTGGTGGCATCACTCAGACGAGCTGTTGCCGCAGTTGGCCAGAGATCCAGATGTCGACATCTGGAATAGCTTGGTGTGAGTTAGGGAGAACATCTGGTGAGCAGATGCCGAGCTGCTGTGTCAGGGCTTGGCTGTGTGGAGCAGTGGGGACAACAGGAATCTCTTGACGTCGGAGTCTTGCCTGGGCGCCCCGAAGCGGAGCAGGGAATCCACTGGCGGGAAAACGATGTACTGTAGTCAGTTCATCTGCCTGTGTCTCCAGCAAGGGATCGCAGAGCACTGTGTGGAATTAGAGGCAAGCCATGAGCCTACTACTGAATTATTTACATAAACACTCCTTCCTCGGGGTATAATTTTTACTTTTGTACCTAAAAGGAATCTCATTTAATATTATCAGAAATGGGGCACAACCAGCATTTTGTGAACATTGTGTGCTTCTTCTTTTTTTTTTCTGGATAGTGAGGAAGCATGGGCAGACGCTTCTGACCTGCCCACCTTCGTCTTCTAACACGTGCTGCAGGATCGGTGCTCTGCTGCTGAGAGCCGGGAGAAGGCTTTGACCAGCTAATCCTGGCCCTAGTCTTGGCAGGGCTCACACAATTGTATACCTCCACTACAGGAGTGCCAGTCACAGTGGGTTAGGCTGGTTAGACAGCTGGACCCAGGCTCAAACCCGTGGACACGGGTTAAGGAAACTTGCACAAGGTTTCACTCCCTTTCAGGGATGTCTCATTGAATATGTTGACTTACAAGTCTGCCAGCACTCTATGTAGAATGAAACTATACTCATGAGGACTAACGTGCTCTTCAACCTTGCTTATTCAAACTGCTCATTCTGATCCATTCTGCACATCTGAGGTCTGAATGTCTTTGCTTATTTACAGTAGTGGGTATCTCATTCAGTATGAAGTCACCTCCATGATGCCGTGATGCAGACCTCATGTCAAGGTCAACGTCCCCTTGTTACAGGAAGTTTTAGGAAGCCCTGCAAATATCCCGAGAGAAGACCAGAGCTTGTGCTCTAGACAGGAAGATGTGGCTACATTCATCCCACTTGTACCTGTACCTAGCTTCACCAACACCATGTTCACCAAGCATGCACACGAGACAAGAGAAAAAAGGCTGTAATTTTTATTGTGCATAACAAGCAGAGCAGCAGCATTCTGAATAAATCTTCCGGTTAGAATAATATGTTGTTGCTTTTTATTTGGTCTTCAGAAGTTATCCACTCAAATCATAGCATGCAGCATAGGAAAGCTGCTTCTTCCTGATAAGGATCACAGCCAGCCGATGACTGTCCCCGAAGCACAGGACATGAACATATGCTCTGGATGGGACTGGGAGGCAGGAGGCAGTGACAGGTGGCTTTGTGAGAAACAAACCTGCAGAAAGCGGCTCATCTGGTCTGAATGAGTAATTAGCACTCGGAGGCAGTGAAATTCCATGTGAGGGAAAGGAGCTGTCAGGATAGGCTCTGGTGGAATTAGCCACTCCTTTGGGCTAATGAAGGGGCTTATAAGAGCAGCCAAGAGGTAAAGGGATTCCGTCTGCGTTCAGGCTCAAGGGTGGGTAGGGAAGATCTCATTAGCAAACGAGTGGGCTGGCTTACCGGGCTGTGGGACTCTGTGAGCGCGGGAGGCTTAAGAAAATACAGGCTGCACTGAGGGGCTTCACACGGGCTGCACGGTAGTTCGTTTGCCATCTGGACCGGGGCTCACCGGTAGCATTCACTCCTGGAGCAGCAGGGCAAGGAGCTATCGTCCTTGTATGGGAACTTCCCTGTGCAACTTGCACAAGTATTCGCTCCCTTTCAGTGATGTCTCTGTGAATATGTGGAATTACAAGTGATTGGTACAATGTTTAAAAGTGGGTAATTTAATTCAGACAATTCAGAAACTAAAATGTGTGGCTTGCATAGGCATTTACCCCTCATCCCAAATCAGTTCTGCACTTTCAGCTGGAGACTTCAGTTCCACAGGCAAGGAGCTTGGAAGTTCTCTCTCTCAGTCAGCATCCAGTTAAAGAGTGTGAAACCGACAACTAAAAATGATCTGGATATACATTTAGGCACCTAATGGTCTGTTTTGCTTATGTACTTTCCTTTACTTATGGATAGGCTGTGGAATGCCTGGAATGGGAGCTTTATTACATTTCAATTACATATGACTACTGAGTGTTTTTAACTGTGTGGGGTCCCTGTATTGCCTCATGACCCCTGGAACACGTTCAGACAGCCGGTCAGTGTTTCTGATTTGTTCCTTCAGTGAGGAGTGAAGCATGCACCTAGTGTAAGCAGTTGAATAGTTCTGTACGGTCAGAACCGAACTAAGCAGGACTTTATATCTCATTCCCAGAAAAAAAAAGATATTGCTGCTCTGGAATCAGTACAGCAATCAGACACATTCCCAGACTTAAAGGAAAAACCCACTCTGAAAGCCTTAAAGAACTGGATCTTTCTGGTCTTAAACAGAGAAGACTCTGTGGAGGGCCTGATTCACAAATGCGCTGACAAAGTCAACCCAGTGGATTTCACATCAGTGAAATCAACACTGAGACATGAACCAGAGGACATACAGTAAGTGCAAAGTGAAAGTGTCTATTAAACCAAGAACTGGAGACACTTCTTCCCACAAAGGTTTGCTGGAGTGTGGAGCAAGCTACCCTGTTGTGTTATTGAAGCTGCTAACCTGGCTTTCAAGAAATGGCTGGATGAAACTTTAAGATCAATTTACCACTAAAACTGAAAAATAAAAAATGGATCGAATGGCCTCTTCTCAGCTGTAGCTTTTCTTATGTTATACCCAAGTACTGTACAGACAAACTAAAATGGATAAATATCATAATGAATAATTGTAAGCTCTTTTGAAGCAGGAGTGTGCATAAGATTGCTCATTAATGTTATAAAAGCTGATGAAAGTTGTCACTGTGTAATTATAATTACATATAATTACATCTGTATATGCAATTCACAGAAGCACTACAGATCTGACTCTTCATTCATCTGTTTGCAAAACAAAGATGCCGGAGTGGAAAGCAAATACTTCAAAAATACCCCCCAAAAAAAGATTTCTCATCTTCGGGTCGATCTTTTCCTCTTACCTCGTACTTTCGCCCTGGGGTGCCAATGACGGGCGCGAGCAGGGTGGCTCTCCAGAGGGCCTCGCCAGGCTCTGCAGTGTGGAGGCTGCCAGCAGTCGGGGTGGGAGTGACCGCAGTGCCCGCGGCGGGCGGCAGGGGTGGTGAGAGCTGTGAGCCGCCATCGGGGCTGCTGGTCAGAGGAGAGAGAGTCCGAGAGAGGCCGAGGCACACGCGCAGGGCGAGAGACTGAAAAGATGGGGTTCGACGGAGTTAAAAAGAGCAGAGCACGGCTATAAGATTAGAGCTTCCTGAAATGTGGGATCTTTTCATCTTGTTGTTGGGTCTAAGTGACTTTCCAGCAGCTCTGCTGCGAGATTAACGGCTGGCCCGATTGTGATGCCCTGTGGTTCAGAGGGGGACTGTGACTGTGATGCTCTGTGGTTCAGAGGGGGGACTGTGACTGTGATGCTCTGTGGTTCAGAGGGGGT